GTCCCTTTGCCCTGTCCAGACCCTCAAAAGCACCTGCCCCCTCTGCTCCCCCACCCAAACCCCCACGAGTACCTGCCCCTTCTGCCCAGACTCCCACGAATACCCTGCCCAGGGCCCCACCAGCAACCTGCCCCCTGTCCAGGGCCCCACCCTGTTCCTGCCCCTGGGAGAGCCCAGCTGGCACCCTGCCTGTGCCTCGGGGCTTGACACCCACCAGCACTCTGACCTTGTCTCCTAGCCAGACACCTACCTCCAGCTTGCTCCTGTACCCTATTTTCTACCCAGATTTTGCACCCCATCCCTATACCACTAACTGGCACATTGGATCCCCTGTCCCACACACTGGATTCCTCATATTTGGCCCCATCTCAGAGTGTAGAGGGGCCCACAAATTCCACTAACCCTGGAATCACAGAAGAGTTAATCTAGCCTGAAGCCTTGAACATCAGTCCTACCTACCCTCCCCCTATGGGGCTGGGATGCCAGGGGAGGGAGGTGTCTCAGCTGAGGCCAGATCAGTGAGGTTTGGAGGGGTTGGTTTTTTGCATCTCATTTGTGTGGGCCTTGACGGATTTTTCTGTGGGTCAGTGACCCCTGATCCAAAACAGGTTCCCCGCCCCATCCCTATCCCACTCACTGGCACACTGGATCCCATCCCGCACACTGGGACATAAATAAAGACAATGCTGAAACGTTTGTGTCGGACATATTTTATTTAAAAATGAAGCCTGGACAAAAAGCCCCCATCTGGTTGCAGCATCATAACACCCCTGCATCTCCACGCACACCCCAACTCTGAGTCTATGATACACCATGAGCCCCCTGTCCTGAGCCTCTCACATCCCCAGTCTTCTGCCACAACACTACTGCACAATCCACACACTGCAAATCTGTGTCCTGTGCCCATCATACTCCCAATCCCTTTGCCCTGAGCCCCTCACACACCACAACCTGAACTCCTGCCCCCTCACATCCACAAGCCTGTGGTTTGCTCAGCACCCCAACCTCCACCTGATCCCAACACTCTCCAGCCTGGAAACCCCTCCTTGAGTCAGCAGCCCCTTCTCCACCTCCTCCTGCACCCAAATTCCCTCCCAGAGCTTGCACCTTTCATCCCTTCCCCCACCCAAATCCCTCATTTCAAACCTAGGATTTCCCAACTCGTGAAGAAAATGAAGCATCATCCTCCACATTAAATTCATTTTGTTTCTGCTATCTCTTATGGTAAATTACATTTTTATTACATTTTTGTGCCAAGAAAAACTATTTGTGCTTATTCTTAATTTTAAATCATTTTTATACCAAGTTTTTGTGTTTTTAATTTTAAATTATGAATTGAATTTTTGATTAAAAGGGGGGTTGGATGATGGTAAAGAAGAGGTGGGGAGGCGTGAGGGTTTCTCAAAAATCAAAAAGGGTGCGTGATGATGAAAAGTTTGGGAACCAGTGACCTAGACTTTGAACCTTCCAGGAGGAGGCAGCAGGTTGGAGCACAGCCTGTTAGCACTACTGGAACAAAGAGATAGCAGATGTCCTTCCTCACGCCAATCCTCAGAATAGCATCCTTGTTTCACTTGTGTGAAGAGCTACAGGTGGAACTATGGGTTGTAATTCCCAGCCTAGTTCCATATCCACTGTAATAGAGACAAGAACAACTAATTTTTACCCTTTTCCAAAAGGAGGTTCTATATACTGTCCTGGTATTTGTGTCCACTTCTGGCATGAATGGATGCATGTGGATTGCAGGTAGCATGGAATGAAAGACAGTTTGCCTAATACTACCACTAGATGGCATTCAGCTCTTCTTTTAAAGCAGAAAGTTGGCTGAAAAGAATTAAATTCTACTATTGTGTGGCTTTTTATTGGTAATCATTTTTTAAAAAAACTTGAGTAAAACTAGCACTGTCTGTTACTTAGATCCCTTTGGAATATGCCTTAGAATCTTTACAGTTACTCTCTCAGTCTACAATATTTAACATTGACCACTGGAACAATGTGTTTAGTGGGGATGTTGAGTTCAATTTACAATTGAACCAAATTGTAAACCTGTATATGATGCAAACCATTTCAAGCCAGGGGGTATAGGTGTCCCCAGTGCCCCTAGCATCTGTGCACATAGGCATTTAAGGCTCCTTCTATTAATTCCCTGTGGAAGTTAGGAGCCTAAATATTTCTGAGGATCTGGACCTTACTACTTCTGGTGTTCAACTTTGGGTCCCCAATAACATTCAAAGGCACCTAAATTGAGCTACTAGGAATTGACTGACTTGGATGCCACACTCCCCAATGTGTTTGGGGTACCTAGATGTCAATGCTGTTTTTGAAAAACTTGATCCATCCTAAATCTCTGAAGATTAGTACACAACTTCTATCATCTCCTTTATAAGAAAGCTAGTTGTGAATCAGCTCTATCTTGTAATTTAGGTAGGTGTTAAAGTAAGAATATGTTAATCTAAGTAATCCTGTGTGCTCTTACGAATGTAAACAATTTGTGAGTTGCAAAATAATTATACCATAAACTGTAATTCTGATGTCAAACTAGCCTGTGAAAAGATTGACAAGCTGGGTAGCAGAAAATGACAATTATTAACTGATGAACATATATGGGGGAAAACAAAAATGACTCGGTTGCACTGGAATAACTCCATAGTAACCAATGTATTTACAGAGGGATTACTAAGAATAGAATTTGGCCCTCACAAAAGCCATCAGAAATACTGAGTGAACTGCCCTTAGTGGACGAAATTATTTTGCTGAAGTTATCTCCTTCATTCTAGGTTCTGAATGCATTCCTCACTCTAAGACCAATCCTTCCACACACAAACCAGAGGGGATCCTTATTTGAGCCAAAACAGCAGGACCCCATGATCATTTTAGAGTTTTACTGTATACTTCAGCAAGTGAAGAAGTCTGACTGCCCATCCATTCAGCCAAGCCTGGGTACACCGCAGAAAAGCCCAGTCCTGTCTCCTGCCCACCCCCCATGCTTTGGTCTGTAGAACCCATTTAAATATCCTGCACTTCATTAGAATAAACATGGCTGCCGCTTTTTTTCAAAATGAAGTTTTTTTTAAAAATGGCAATCAGACGCAGATCTGTCAAAAATAAACCCTTTTTCGACAGATCCTGTAAACCTCATTTTTTGAGGAATACAGGATCTGTAGAAGGCTTTATCTTTGACAGATCCACATCTAGACTGACGGTTTTTTCAAAAAAAAAAAAAAAACTCAGTTTAAAAAAAAGCGGCAGCCATATTTACGATAATGAAGCATGGGATATTTAAATCCCTGCTTCATTAGCAATTTCGATGTGCTTGATTTGCATCTCTCTGTCGACAGGGGGATGCAGTCTAGACGTAGCCTAGAAGAGCAGTAGTAAGTTGCTCATGATCATTTTAGAGTTTTACTGTGTACTTTAGCAAGTGAAGAAGTTTGACTGCCCATCCATTCAGAGAAGCCTGGGTACACCACAGAAAAGCCCAGTCCTGCCCCCTGCTCCACCCCCCCCATGCTTTGGTCTGTAGAACCCACACACCCCCTTTTGAAGTGTTCCTTCTCAGTTTTATGACTTCTTGGAACAAGGCTGCCCAAGAAGTTGAAGCATGTCTGAGTTTTATTTATCTAATGCTAGTCTTTCCATCAAAGATTGCAACTTAGACCCAAATCTAGGTCCTAGGCCAAATTTCTAACTCATTTAAGCTAAGCATTTCTCTCTTCTACGTAATGCAAACCAGGTGCCTGCTTGTTTTCAAGCTTTAGGCCTCAGCTCAGCACTGACAAATTCATTGCTGGAAGCCACATGGTAGTATGGTTAAGGTGGGTACTGATCCCATGACAGTATGAAATTTTGTAAACTGCTGCATAAAATAATCCTAGGCCAAATTTCTAACTCATTTAAGCTAAGCATTTCTCTCTTCTACGTAATGCAAACCAGGTGCCTGCTTGTTTTCAAGCTTTAGGCCTCAGCTCAGCACTGACAAATTCATTGCTGGAAGCCACATGGTAGTATGGTTAAGGTGGGTACTGATCCCATGACAGTATGAAATTTTGTAAACTGCTGCATAAAATAATCTTGCATATCTTTATCACATGCTCTAAGTCAGTATTTAAGAGTTTGCTTTATAACTGTTAAAAAAAAAAAAAAAAAAGTGTGCCTTGCCAGTCAAAAGGGATCTTTTGCTGCTTATCAGAAAGGCTATCAAAATTGAATAGGCCACTATGAGATATCCTAATACAAATACTTTAGCATTTGCCCCTTCATACCCACAAGAAGATTACATGCAAGAGAGCTCTTCTCATCAGCTGGAGCTCTGGAAAAAGGAAATAACGATCAGGAACAAGAAAATGTTCATCTCTTTGGCTGTTTGAACTCTCACAGGGTTGGAACAGAAGCAGGGAACCCCAGGGCCAACCTGGCTTAATCCTTAAAGGAATACAATGCTGCTATATTCCCCTTTTAAAAGCATAGACTATAAACTTGGGATAGAAGTCTGCTTGCTTTAACCTTGCAATAACTCATTTCTTTTCTTAGTTAATTGCAAGCATTGCATTTGGGGTGAGATCTGAGATACAAATTGATGCAGGATAAATGACTGGACTGTTGGGACTGGAAGCAATTTGCATCTTTTCTGATCTTTGGTGGATAGCAACCAATTATCACTAAGTCCAGCTTGCCTGGGTGGCAAGCTAGACTGCAACGCCCAAGGGGACTGTGTGAAACTCCATTGGAAGACTGCCATAGAGCTTCAGGGGTTCACACTTGATACTAGGTTAGTGAAATCTAATTACAGAACCCACAAACCAGTTTCAGGTCTTTGCCCGGCATCTTGACAGTCTGCACTGAAGCTGGCACTCAGTCTGGGAACCACTCCAGAAAATGACACTCTGCACTTAAAAAGGAAGGGGGAGGGGGACAACCCTACAATGCTTTATCCTGCTGTTGCAAACAAAAACAGTTTCAGAAAACTCACAAAAAAAAAAAAAGACACAGTAAGAGTCTTATTCACAGAGGTTAACAAAGTTTTATTTTGATACAAAAATTAAATAGCAAAGTTTTTTGTACAGTGATAAATTAGACATTTACAGTACATACATCAGCTATACTTTCTGTACATCCAAAAATAATCAGTGTCCATTTCCTTCCACAAGTTACTTTGTCTTTCTCAAGCTCTGTCACAAGTAGTTTAGCTTGGAGCTGTCTGTCAGCCCTTTCAGATGCTTGTAAATCAGCACAAAACACCACCATCTAGGATTGGGACTGGCTTGAGAGAGAAGAGATGGGATTGCGCAGAAACAGTAACTGCTATAAAACTGAGCTCTACAGCCACAGCAACGACACTTCCAAGGCAAGATTAGTCATACATAAATATGTTGAAATGAGAGAAACCAAGTTGCAGATATTCACCCTTCATAACTCTGTGCTTCAGACTCAATCTAGAGTGACATTTCCAATCACAAATGCCTGAACAACCAGACTAGCAAGGTAAATGCACATAGTGAAGTTGTGCCTTTTCTGAGACGCTTCTGTGGCCCTGAGTAGGATGAGCTGCCTCATTACCTGAAGGAAAATGAGAAATAAACCCACTGAACTCCAGTACATACCTGCAAGAGAATTAGGTCCATTATGGCTCAGGCAGATACAATGCCTTCAAGGGAAAGTTATTGCTATGTATACTTATGTGGCCACTCTCATAGTAGTTAAGTGCCTCCCAACTTCAACTGATTTATCTTCTTCTCACCCTGTAATGTAAGAAAGCATCACTCTCACCTGACTCACTTTCAGATGTGACTAATCAACAGTGCTATCTTTCTAGTTGGAGAGCTACTGAGTCATGCTCTAAAACCAAACAACAGGAAAGGTCACGTCTTAACAACATCTGGGATGACAAGACTAAAAATGCAGGTGGTCGGTCAGATCAACTGGCATGAAGTTCAGTGAATATGAATCACCTATGGCCATTAGTCTACGACTTCCCCTGGAGGGACCCCTGGATGAATTAAGTGAGTGGACTGAACCCAATGACAGTGCTCATCCCTCTTCTTCATCTCTCAGAATTTGAAGCTAGCTTTTGATTTGGCTAGTGAAGCCCAGCCATCAATAGTTGTCATTCTTGCAGAATGCTATTACTAGACCAGAACACATAGATCCAACAAGGCATTACTATCCAGAAGAACAGACCTGGAATTGGAAGGCTCAGCTAGTATACAGAGCTGGTCAAAATGAACGTATGTTGTGCATAGAATGAGTCAAGTTGTTACTTGCTCTGCTAGTGACTGATCCCAATTGCACAGACTGACAGGCATTTTTAAAAAAAAAATTCAAGCACATATCTCCGCACAGACACAATTCATGCCTTTAAACACAGTTTGAGAGCTAAAGGGGGTACCCCTTTCAGGCCTGCCTTATCCTACAAAAGTCCAAATACCCTCACTAGATCAAGCCCCCATACACTGAAGACAAGCAAGTTATTAGGGCACTCAATGAAACTAAAGGTGGAAGGGGAGCACTTGAACATTGCTCATTCTTTAGGTTTACATTGTACTTCCTGTTACTCCAGGAGGACTGTAGCATTTCCCATGAACATGACAGGCTATGGAACCTTGCCACTAACTAGGAAATATAATCTGAAGAACTTGGATTTCTTCTCCAGTGATCCCTTTTCAAAGAGAAAAGTGTCTCCATTGTTGCTGAAGTCTGATTACATTCTTACGTATTTTTTTAAAGTCACTCAGTGAGCAAAGGGACAGGACCATGGGTTTGAACCAGTCAGCTGTACTCTATCATGTTATTTTTAATTGACACACAATTATACAACTGATCTATGTGAACATGAAGTTGCCAAGGAACTTAACATTTCACTTTTCCCAGACTGGCATCTGTATAGATGTAATCACACAGAGTGAAACATATTAAGTCTTAATTGCTTAATACAATAGGTCTCTGGGGAGAGAAGAAGTTTATTTGGAGAAAAACTACTTGTTCTGCTGAATGAAGAACTGGTCCAAAACGACCCTTCATTCATTTTCCCTCGGCTGTATGTTGCAGGAGGAAGGAAAGCAACTAAAAAACCAAACCCTAAGTTATTAGTGCAGAAAAATAAAGTAGTCAGAGTCTGGAAATAGCCAGGTTATCCAAAAAGGACAAAAGGTTTGTAGTGGTTTTCGTCATATACAGGGTGTACAGTTTGGTTCATTGGCTTTCAGCAGCCCTAGACTAGAAAAGTGACTCCAGCACCTGACTACATGTGCTGTTATGCTTCAATCTTCAAGTTAATCTACTACTTCTGATAAAGTTATTGAGTGAAGCTTTTAACCACATCAAATGAAGTATTGATGTTTTAGACAGCAAAGTCTGTGTCTATGGAAAGGTTAAAATTAGATCATCAGCTGATCTATACAGCAATCCATCCGAACACCTAACTGAATCCTGCAAAGTCATTGTTTGAGTTGCTTTCAAACCTTGAAAGCTTAGCTGGCATTTTCAACCAAGGATTAAGCCCGCCTGCATTAGGCACCATGCAACACCAATGAAGGCAGTAAAGCTATTCAGGCTATGGTCCAGTCTTAAAAAGGTGCTGACCATGTCCTTTAAGACATTGAATTCAAAGTGAGTGATGCAGTAAACTGAATCTGAGGTCACCCCAGCACATCACAGGACTGTAACCCAGATCAGCCCAGAATATGCCCCTTTTGTCCTCAAAGCACTGTAATAGGATTTAAGAAATCAACATCCCAAGTAACTAGATGTAAGAGCCTGTGGCTTCTAATTACATGAATACATTGCCAACTGCTTCACAAAAATGTGACCTATTCAGTTTTTTCACAGCTTTCACAGCCTCCCGGGGCTTTTGCATTTCAGGCACTGTGGTTTATAATTTTGAAATTATTGCTTATTCTTTAAGGCTTCTTTTCAGAGAGATTTTGTACTTTACCTTCTCACACCTCCCCAGCAACGTTTCTACAGCAAATGTTTATACAGAAGTCCTTCTTGGCAGAGAAATCAGTACGTGGGTTTTGTTTATACCACAGTCTCATTCCCTTTCCCAGGTTTCACCCAACCATCCGCTCTTTTCTCGCGTTTCACTTTCCCCGAGTTCACCAATCGGTTAGAGCACTTCTGCCATGTGTGTAGCGTCTTGGCTGACCAAATCCACATGCCAGATGTGATACCCACCAGCAGAGACATGAAAATTTTGAGCATCTCCACTGCCATATTGGAATCATCTGCTGAATAGCGGAAGATAGCCCAGTTGGAGATTTCATAGAAGTAACATGCAATTACACATGTGGCTGGGACAGTATATAGCACTGAAAAGACACCAATTTTGACCATCAGTCTTTCCAGCTTGTCAGTTTTAGTCCCATCTTTTTGAAGATTAGACCGGATTTTAAATAAGGCCACTAAACCTGCTGCTATGAACAAAGTTCCAATAACCAGATAGGTGAAAAGCGGAGCAACAACAAAGCCAGTGAGTGCATCTAGGTTCTGGTTGCCAACATAACACAGACCTGTGAGCTCATCTGCATCCACTAGTCTCATAATCAAGATGACGATGGTCTTCACCGCAGGGATAGCCCAGGCTGCAATATGGAAATAGGAGCTGTGCATTTCTATAGCTTCATGGCCCCATTTGAGCCCTGCTGCCAAAAACCATGTTAATGTCAGAATAACCCACCAGATGGAGCTAGCCATCCCAAAAAAATACATCAGTAAGAAAATTATAGCACATCCTGTGTTCTTAAGACCTTCTTGGACAAGAACAGGTTCTGCTGCCTCTTCAAAATCACAGGATATCCTTTCCCGGCCTACAGTCAGCCTCACAATGTAAGCAATGCTATAAATATTGTAGCACATGCTCAGAAATATGATGGGGCGCTCAGGGTAGGAAAATCTGGATGAATCAATCAGGAAGGTCAGGACTGTGAAGGCAGTTGATATGAAGCACAGACTAGCCCAAACGGCCATCCAAATATCAGTGAATTCCTTAGCTGATCTGCTATAGAGACCAGCATCGTAGCCACACTTAAGGACACAGCTCAGGCTTCTTTTAACCCAGATATACTGCTCTGAATTAGATCCCAGAGTGTGACACTCTTCTCCTGGCTGCAAGGAGGTTTTGCTGTGAAGGGGAACTTCTTCATCCCCTGGGCCCTCCATGCACATGTGGTTGTGGTCATTCTGAGGTGGGAATTTACTGCAGTTTAGACTGTCTGGCCAAGCAAATCCAAATTCTTTCAGAACAGGTTCACATCTTCTTTTCACAGAAAGGCACATGCCACCGCAGGGACCTATTGGGATGTTAATCTTCTCTGTGCACATTGGAACATAGACTGAACAAAGGAAGAACTGGAAGAGAAAAATAATTAGTCAAATTTGTGCTTAAAAGAAGATTTGCTATTTAATCTACCGTTTTAGTTTTAATTTCCTCTCTATTGTCTTTAACAGTACCGTCTGGTACTTTGCCTAAGGAAGCAAAGAGCAGTGTGTAGTAAAGAAACCAAGGAGGAAAAAAATCCTAAAACCCTCAGCCTTTGCTTTCAGTTAAAGTGTTTTGAGCCCAAACCCTGACCACTTTACTCACTAAAAATTAGCCTTAAATCAGTGGGCCAAATTCACACAAGGCAAAAAGAACTAGATCTAAGCCTCCTCCAATTTACAGTTAAAAGGGGCAAACTGCAACCTAAATAAGTAATTTAAACTTTGACAAATATATAGGCCTTAGCTTTAGAGGCTGCGTAGATATTTAAAACTAAACAAAACCATTTACATGCAAGTATCTGAACGGGAAAGTCACGTCCTTGAAGCTGTCTGTTTAGTATACTGTGTACTTTCCTGGTGTTCAAGGATAAATATTTTCCTTTAAGAAGTCAGTGAGAAAGTTCACACTCCTGGATCGGTAAAAGTCATTTACAATATTAGGCTGTGTGACATTTTCAAACCCATAAACAGTGATCAGCCCGTTTATTAACTCTGATTTAGGGCGTTCTCTTTAGTCTTCACACTAGTCCAAATTCCTGGGCTACCAAAGGGAATACAGACAAGTACTGCATGCCAATCGAAAGAAAAGTTTGGCTTCTCCTCCCTTCTGACTTTGTGTGGAGGTTATTCCAGAAAGAGGATCGGGTATGGGACTTCTTCAGTGTTTTCCTTCAGTCTCAGTAACTGTAACCCCTTTGAGATTAAATGCTATTGTAACCTTATTGTACCTTATCTGTAGATTCACGCCCAAAGCGAAAGCTAATCTTGAGCCACTTTGCAGATGGAAGTTTTCAAAGGTACCTTTGCTTAACCCCTTAAATCGTTTCTTTTTAAAACATTTGTTTCAAGCCAGAAGATCTTTTCAGGCTGTTCTAGCCTTAGAAACTGGGGCTCGGAAACAACTCAGACCTGAAACCCGCCCAGTGACGACTAGCTCCCAAATCGGCAGGCAGCAGAGAAGCTAGATTTACAAAACAAAGGCAAGAAACGCAAGAGATTGAAACTTGGAAGCAGCAGGACGTTCGCAGAAGAAACGCCAGAAGTGAAGGCAGAGAGTCAGCTGGGCTAACGGCCTCCTCCCAGCCCAGAAACCCTTCCTTTAGCCGGGCAAGGACCAGGCTAGGCTGGGACGCAGATCGGGCTGGGGTGTCAGGGTGGGGGGCGTTGCAGCCTTTGGGGGAGGGTGCAGCTGGCCCCACTTTCC